ATAATATTTATAATGTTTAAAAGAAATGTTATAGAAAGTAAATAGAAATGGATTGAAGAATTGGAATTGGTAATAGAGCAACGTTTGTTTAACATAACAAAAATTTGTTAGTATGAGCCATTTTTATAACAATTTCACTGCAAAGTTCATCAATACATATTGCTTCACATAATTTATTATAATATATTATTATATTATTTGACTTTCTAGCTATGAAAAATTATAAATAAATCGACTTTTTGAAACGAGTATTTTTTTAAAGCAATGTACTTATTAAATAAACCCCACTTTTATGATTATTTTAAGAACTATTTGTTTGTTTTGTGGGGCTCTCATGCGAGAATAATGATTTTCAATGCAGCTATCTTTTAAAAAGCTAAAATTGCATTCGCAAATTGCCAGAAATTTTAAAAGATTAAAGAGTTAATTACAAACAAAATTAAAAATAATTGTAATGTTTGAGAATAGAATAATCCTAAGAAGAATTTCCTTTTTATAATTAATAATTATTTTATAACTGATTTAGAAATATATTGTTTATTGTCTTTGTTATTTATTTTTAATTATTGAGCTTTATTATTTTCCTAAGGGCGACTGTTACCAACGCCGATTAACTTAATCGACGATTAAGTCCGGATATACAATAGAGTTTTAAGCCTTAAGCCATAAGAAATGGACGAATCGTAGTGACGTAGTCGATTATTCCCCTCGAATTCTACTGTAATTGGTTAATTTCTTACGATCTAAGGCTTAAAACACGTATTGTATATCCGAACTTAATCGTCGATTAAGTTAATCGGGATTGGTAATATACAGTCGCCCTATTACATATACATATGTTACAGTCCAATGTCAAAGTTAAAAAAATTTTTTTTTGTTTATTTATATATATATATTCTATATAAACAATATATTTTATTTTCGTAAGTAAATAAATAAAGATCTGATTCTCACAAGGGAATAGTCGGAACTGTCCCTCACTGATTTTGATGTACTTTGGATATGTTGTAGAACAGCAAAAATATTCGATCCATATTTTTTATAACAGTTTATCCCAAAGTTTAGGGGGTGAAACAGTCCCTTGAAAAAAAATGGATTTTTTCATTTTTAACGAATATTTTCGAAACTATATGCTGCGTATGAAAATATGTTTTATACAAAAGTTTTACAGTATTTTATGGTCTATATAATAGATGTATTCATTTTTTTAAATCAAATTTTTTAATTAACCTTTATTTTAATTAACGACTTATTTCCGGACCTATGTTTATATAGCTTTTTTCTTCCTTTTTGGCTCTCGAATCACTTCCCGAAATATTGACCTCGATTTTCACCTTGTATAAATACTATAGTAAATTTTTTAGCAAAACGAATGAATGATTATATTTTTTGTTCTATAGAAGACAAAAAAAGTTATTCGTAAGTGTGAACTTTGATTATTGACATTGACACATTATTTTAATACTGTAATTCATTTAAGTTTGTGCGCACTTCAGATACCCAGAGAAATGATAATGTCGATTCGACATCGAAATAATCAATTCGACGTCGATTCCATTGTCATTTCTCAATGGGTAGAATACAGGATGTTTTGCCTCTACTGCATTTCCTTTAAAGGATGAATTCTTGAGATGAATTTAGATGTTGAGGCTATAATAATCTTTTGAATTATAAGTATTTAAAGTTAGTGAATCATATACCGTTGAAAATCTACGTGTTCAGGTGCAATACAACGCAAAGTACTTACTAATCGTGAAAGTTAATTGTTAAATATCGATATAAAGTGATGTGTGTTACTGATATTTTTAATTATTGATATTTATTATGTTTAAAAAATATATTATATTTTCATCCGACATTTTAATATTATTATATGATTTTTGTCTCTAAATTATCTCTAGAATAAATCCTTAAGAAAAAATGCGGTAGAAGCGGAAAACCTTTTTTACGTATTTTTATCGACTTGAGACGGATCTTATGCAAAACTAAATAAAACCAGGATATGATATACCACTAACAAACATAGAACGTCAACAACTAAAGTTCATATTATATCTACGAAAAAATGTGTCTATCAAGCAAAAATTAAGATCGTTCGATCGTCTTACCTAAAGTGTTTTCTGCTGACTATTCTACTAAATGTTAAATTTCATTTAAATAAATTAGTAGACTTTATTCGGCTCAGGTATATTTATTCTAATAATTTCGTTATCTTTCATAATGTATATCTAAACATAAATACAAATAAACATCTCATCCGTAAGTAATTTCGCAATATTATAAAAAAGAAAGCTAAAATTGACACCGATAGTTTTACTGAACGATGCATAAATCAAACATATACATATACATATTATATATATATTGTAAAATTTTTTATCATTTCTTTGTTTAAAATTAAATTTTACATATCATTAAACGAATTCTTAAATACTCAAAAATAATGCGCAAAATAAATCCATAAATTAAAAGCAAATGTTTTCAAAAAAATACTGAGATTGGAAAAAAATTTAAATAAAAGAGATATCAAAAATAAAACGTATAGAAAATTTTGTCCATTTTTAATTATTTACAATGAAATCTGCCTTTATTTCTAATAAGAGTTTAATAAAATTTTTAATAAGAAATTTCAATGTTTTTTGATAAATGATTAATTCATTTTTTGATAACATATATATATAATATTATTTAATATTAACCCTTAATGGTCTAACGTGGGTCGTTCAAGTCCCCTAAAAGGTACACTCTTCACCTTTAATTTCCACTTTGATTTATGTCGATAGCTTCATTTGGATTGAAGTTATGATTTTTTAAGTGATCGAGTGATTTTACACGCGGTACCACCATTTTTAATACAAAATTATATACAAAAATAATTATTTTCGACATACAAATTTTTTTTTCTTGAAATTGAAGAATTAATGAAAGTCCATGAATTTTTGCAGATTTTTTAAAGCCCTTTAACATGTCTAAAAAACGCCGAGACACGAATGGCCCACGTTAGACCATTAAAGGTGCCGAAAAAACGTTAGACTAGTAAGGGTTATTATTAATATATATTATTGTTTAATTTTAACGATCCTTATATATTGAGGAAATCTTATATATATAAAAATTCTTATATATTGAGGAAATCAAGTCGAGATTTAGTATGGACAAAAAATTCATACGCTGAATTTTTTTTGTTAACTTAGCAACATTGTATATTTCTACAGTGGTGTGGCGTGCAGTAGAAAGTCTAATAAACATGGTCATATATTATAATTTTAGTTACTACCATTTGCGTATGCAGGATTTTGTGTTAATAATTGTAAGGTATAGCTTTGTACCGAGAAAATAAAATTTCTTGTGTTCAAGAAGAATGGATCAGAAATTCTTAAAATGCAACAGTTTGTGATTATTAAATACTTATATTAAAATATTTTCACATAATTTGTATAGTAAATTACATATTAGCAAGTATCAACTAGCTAGGCTATAACAGCTCTGATTTTTATATATTCTGAATTATGTTTAACATAATCTATATAACTTATATTATTATAATTTTTTAATAAATATTTATCCAATTCTTTTCAATTTTACAAGAAACTTGATTTTTTCTGTTTTGCCAAAACATCACGATTCATTCCAACGCGACGGTGCAAAAAATTTACTCTTACAATTATTAACACAAAATCCTGCATATGTAAATGTCAAATCCAGATCCAAAATTATGCTGAACGTTTATTAAACTTCTTACTACACGCCACGCCACTGTAGAAATCTACTGTATACCCAATATTCATAGTTAGGCCTTATATTAAGGCTTCCTTAAGTTTATCTTCAGGTGCTCTATGAATTATTTTATTGGCTACTAAGCATCTAAAGGAATAATAAATTTAAGGAAGCCTTAAGTATAAAGTGACTATAAATACAGATCTTAGTGTTGCTACGTTAGCAAAGAAACTATTTAGTAC